ATGAATCTAAAGATCGATATGAGAAAAATTGATGTTCTTAACAATATTGTCTTCCATTCTGTAAAGACAGTAGACCAGGCGTGATGGCTCACGCCTGTAATCCCAGCACTTTGGGAGGCTGAGGCAGGTGGATCACTTGAGTTCAGGAGTTTGAGACCAGCCTGGCCAACGTGGTGAAGCCCCATCTCTACTAAAAATACAAAAATTAGGCGGGTATGGTGGTGCATGCCTGTAATCCCAGCTACTCAGGAGGCTGAGGCAGGAGAATCGCTTGAACCCAGGCAGCGGAAGTTGCAGTGAGCCGAGATTGCACCACTATACTCCAGAGCCTGGGCGACACAGCAAGACTCCATCCAAAAAAAAAAAAAAAAAAGGATTGTATGTGTATCTCCATTTATATAGGACCTTTTAATTTTTCTCAAATGACATTTTATAATTTTCAGAATCGAGGTTTTATACATTCTCACCTACTTTCTGTTTTTCAAGGCTATGTTAAATGATTTATTGTTTTTAAATTTTATTTCCTACTGTTTCTTGCAAGTATATTGAAATGAGGTCATTTTTATATATTGACCTGTGTTCTGACAAAATGTATTCATTAGTTCTGGTGGGCACTTGGGAAGACATTTTAGTATTTCTTAGGTGCACACTTATATTTTCCTTTTATTGTATGCCTTTTTTTTCTTGCCTGTTATATTGGCTGGCACCTCTAGTACAATGTGTATAGATGTGTAAGAGCAGATATACTTCCCCTTTTCCCAGTCTGGGAAGAAGGCATTTAATATTTCATCATTAAATATTTCACCATTAAATATTATGCTAGATGTAGGTTTTCCCATAAAATGTCTTTATCAGGTTGAGGACGTTTTCTTTTGTAGTGCCACTAAATTAACTTTTCTGAAATACTCTTAGTTGCTAATAATTTGTCTCATAATGAAATGAAATTGACAACATAAAATTGTTTTCTACCCTTAAGAGGTCACTAAATCAGTAGATTGCGATATGTATTACTTCAGAGGGTGTATTTATTTCTTGGCACTTAGACCAAGTTGCTTTAATGCTACATTTGATAGTATATTTAAAGTGCATTGATACTGTATTTTGCAGCATTTGGCATTTTTTTAGATGATAAGTAATCATTGTCACTTGCTAGATAGGAGTTTTCAAAGCACTAGTGAAATGCTCATATTTATTCATTGTAGGGAGATTTATAGATGACTAATATTGCTCTTCATTTGAATATATTAGGAAGTTAATTTCCCCCTCCTACAATTGGGAAATACATTTCCTAGCTTTTTCTTGTGAAGCTTGTGTATGCTGAGCTTCACATAAACTGGATATTAGCATTTTTCCAGTCCTTTGATAGACTCTTTTAGCTGTTTTATGTGATTTATATTAAAATTATGTTAAATACTTATTTATTCGACACCTATTCTGTGTCCAGCACCGCAGTATAGGCACTTGAGATGTAATGGCAAACAAAGCAGATGTTGCTCCCCTCATGGGACTTGCAATCTAGTCAAGAAGACAAAGCTGAATGAAGTAAATAATTATAAACTATAATAAGTGTAGAATCTGGTCTGGTTCCCTGTGGGAACACTAGGAAGATTTCCCAGAGGAAGTGGTATTTGAACTGAGACCTAAAGATTGCATCTGAATTAAATAAAAGAAGTGTGATGGCATAGTAAGCAGCAGTTATAAATATCTTGAGGTCATAGGGAACATAGCAAGTATATTTGCAACTGGGGGGTGAGGGATATGAGTTGGTGGGGAGGTAGAGGTGTTTCAGCTAATTCTAAACAACACAGAAGAGAAATGAGACTGGATGGATACCTGGAGACCAGTTTTTATAGCACCTATTAGGATCTTATCCTAAAGGCAGTGTAAAACCGGTGAAGTATTTTAAAACAGAGAAGCACACAATCTGGTTTGTACTGTGGAAAAAAATTTGGGTGGTTTTTTTTTTTTTGTGAATAAGGGATTGAAGAGAGACTACAAACAACTCATGGAGGCCACACTGGAAGCCACTACAGGTGTCTAAGCACAAGATGATGCTGGTTTGCTAGGGTAATGATAGTGGAGATGGAGAAAACTTGCCAGGTAGGAGACGGAGTTGAGGAAATAGGTAAATTCTGAATGCATACATCTTTTCGTACGTTTTTCAATTTATTAAAGGACAACAGGTTTATGTTAGTCTCTATTCGTTTA